AATATTTCTAACTAACTAAAAAAACTGATGATGTAGAGAAATTGAGATAAATTATCAAGCTTTAAACAAGTAGAAAAATAAAAAATAGTTTTTAAAAGGAACCGAAAAAATCATATTTGAGAAGGTAGAAATTTTTTATTAGATGTAGAATAGCTAATATTAATGCATTTWTATTTTTATCTTTTTAAAAATATGTATTCTTAATATATAAAAATTTTTCCGGGGCTTGAGCCTCGTCTAAAAGGGTCTAGAATTTGCGAAAATATACTTTGAGGAGAAACTAGAGCAGATGAAATAAAAGAAACAAATGTCAAATAATTAAATGAAAAATAATCTCTTATTTATTTTTGTACATAATAAGAGGTTTGAATGTGTTTTGAAAAACAAAAATACCTATTGAAAACTTGAAAAAAACTGATAATAGTAGAAATATTGAGGTAAATTACGAGCTTGAAAAATAAAAGAATAACTTTTGTGGAGGAACTAAGAAAAGAAAAGTAAAAAAAGGATCAGGAACAATTTTTTATGAAAAATAATAAAATAAATAATAAAACAGAGTTGAGGAGGTAGAGAATCGTTGAGAATTGAATAAAAAAATTTGGGAAAGTAAATAATAAAACATTTGAAAAAATATACTTTGATGGGAAACTAGAGAAAATGACATAAAGTAAAAAGATACAAATAATTAAAGGAAGAATAAGAGAAAACAGTAAATGTTTCTAACTAAGTAAAAAAACTGAGATAAATTATCAAGCTTTAAACAAGTAGAAAAATAAAAAATAGTCTTTTAAACAGAACCGAAAAAATCATATTTGATGAGGTTGAAATTTTTTATTAGATGTACAATAGTTACTATTAATTCATTTTTATTTTTATTTTCTTAAAATGTATTCTTAAATGCTCGAACCCCGGTAAAAAGGGTTTAGATCCGCCACTGGTTTTGAAAAAATTTTCCCACGCTGAAAACTAGTTTACTCCGTTCTTGACAATTTTACATAATTTTCCAGGGCCAAGAGACCTTTTGCGCAAAGTGAATGGCGAATTTTCAGCAGGAGAATTAACAGCAATAATGGGCCCTTCCGGTGCTGGTAAATCCACCCTTATGAATATTTTAGCAGGATATACGTGAGTGTTTGTTATTTTAATTTTTTTTTTTGTGATAATTGCAACGAAAGGCGGCGATTTAGTCCGAGGTCATCCAGATTATGCAAAAATTAAAACGCATTCAAGCATTAATTAATTAATTAATTCATTGTTTAAGTCATTACAAATTGAATTTCAATAATAATTTGTTGGCATAAAATTGACTTGTTTGGTATAATGCGGTGATGAGCTGGGTACATGAGCACCGACTGTCTCAATATTGATCCAAATCCGGTGCATGTGTACTCAAAGTCGTACATTCGCACCGAATGGTTGTTTTGTTTCAGGAGGTCGGGCGTTGCAGGAAAGCTTCTTGTCAATGGTGAAGAAAGAGAAGAAAGTACTTTTCGGAAACAGTCGTGTTATATTATGCAAAATGACAATCTCCAGCCACTCCTCACCGTTCATGAGGCCATGACAGTGGCTGCAAATCTTAAACTTGGTGCGAAAAATAGAGAGAAGCAATCTAGGGTAATTTTTTTTTCAAAAAAAAAAATCTGTACCTGACAGCAACAACAGCCAAATTTAATTTTTTTCCAAAAAAAGTGGATATTTAATACACCTTCTAGCGCAAACAATGCATTAAATCTTGCAATCGGATTTAATTAACAAAATAACAGAAGTTGAAAAGAGAGGTGGATTGTATCTAAGTTAAAAAATATATTGTGGAACAAATCGTTAATAATATAATAGAACAGTGCCAAAAAATTTTAGGAATCTTTGGAAAACAAGTTTGTCATAGTAAAAAGTTTATTTCCGCTTGTACTCTTCAAAAAAGAGAAAATTCAACATAATAATAATGATTTTCATTTCCAAATTAATATGGAAAAAGTGAAAGTCTGCAAATTATTTTTTCTTAATTCATTGTTGATTAGTACTGGATTTTTACGTGAAGCTCTCAAAAATGTTTGACAACTGGAATAACCAGAGCTGATCAAAGAGGAAAGAAAATTCCCACAAACAAAACTCAAGATAATGTACAAATACATATAAAAGACAAATTAGAAAACTTTTTGAACTTTGGTAGCGCTTATTTTTTGTGTTTGAAAGCTAATTTATTTATGAATTGTATGATTTTTTTGGATTTAATTAACAGACATAGAAAAATTATATTTTAATACAAATTTCACAGAAATTTTTAAATTTCAATTTAGGGAGAAAAGCAAGAAAACCTTTAAATTTGTCATAATCACTTCTTCAATTTAGAAAAGAACGAAAACTCATTAGTAAAGCAAAATACTATAACCGGAGGAAAATCAGGACCAGTGTTGCCAGGTCTGGTAATTTTTATACTAGTTTAATGATTTGGTGAAAACTTTAGTAAAAATTCTAATTTCTGATGATTTTTTAGAAACGTGACTGTAGTTCCAGCAGAAAATTAATCTATTTTGATTTTTTTTTTGAGTATTCGCCCAAATGTTAGTAAAATTAATTTTTTTAATTTGATTTTTTAATTATTTATGTAATAAATTCAGTCAAGAGATGACAGTATTTTTTTGTATTTTTTTGAGTTGTTTTAGCCATGCAGACACTCAAATGCTAAATTTTCTCAAAAACAAGTTGAAAAATTGAGGGAGATTGTTTTTTAAATGATATTTCACTCAACAAGCTAAAAAAATCGCTAAAATGGGTCAAAAAGTACATTATTTTGCGCGTTTTAGTATGTTTTTAACCAGAAACAGAACTATTTTGCAAAATTTCCTTAAAAATAAGGGAAAATTTATCAAATTAGGCCAAAACTATTGTTATATTTGCATTTTTACAGTCCTTCAGCACGTTTTTGAAATACATTCAAATTTTTGCTAAAACCGACTGAGAAATTAGCAAATGATTAGATTGAACTTGATATCATTTTAGTTCGTTTTGGAACCAGAGACTCAATTATTTTGCAGAATATTGGTGAAATTTCACCAGATCTGGTGATTTTTATACCAGTTTAATGATTTGGTGAAAACTTTTGTAAAAATTCTAATTTCTGATGATTTTTTTAGAAACGTGACTGTTGATAGGTACAGCAGAAAATTAGTGTATTTTGAAATATTTTTTTAAAATCGAGTTTTCGCCCAAATGTTAGTAAAATTAACTTTTTTAATTTGATTTTTTAATTATTTATGTAGTAAATCCAGTCGAGAATGATGACACTATTTTTTTTTGTATTTCTTTGAGCATTTTGCACGTTTCTTGAGCCATGCAGACACCCAAATGCTAAATTTTCTCAAAAGCAAGTTGAAAAATCGAGACATAAATGATATTTTACAAGGTAAAAAATTCGCTAAAATGGGTCAAAAAGTACATTATTTTCAGTGTTTTAGTATGTTTTTGACCAGAAACAACTATTTTGCAAAAATTTTATAAAAACAAACCGAAAATTTATCAAATTAGGCCTAAACTAGTGTTATTTTTGCATTTTTTAGAGTGTTTCAGCACATTTGTAAAATACATTCAAATTTTAGCTAAAACTGACTGAAAAATTACCAAATTAGATTGAAATTTTAGCGTGTCTCGTTCGATTTAGTTTGCTTTTGAACCAGAGACTCACATGCTTAAACACAACAAAAACAAATCTAAATTAATGTCATTTTGTTTATTTCATTCGATTTAGCTCTTTATGAATGAAATTTTGTCAAAAAATAGGACAAAAAATTCAAAATACGGTCGAAAACAGAACTATTTTGCAAAATTTCGTTAAAAACAAACCGAAAATTTATCAAATTAGTGTTATTTTTGCATTGTTAAAGTGTTTCAGCACATTTGTAAAATACATTCAAATTTTTGCTAAAACTGACCGAAAAATTACCAAATTAGATTGAAATTTTATCGTATCTCGCTCGATTTAGTTTGTTTTTGAACCAGAGACTCACTTATTTTGCAGGATATTGTCAAAACAAGCTTAAACACAACAAAAACAAATCTAAATTGATGTCATTTTGTTTGTTTCATTCGATTTAGCTCTTTTTGAGTGAAATTTTGTCAAAAAATAGGACGAAAAATACAAAATATGGTGTTTTGTAAAACAAACAAAAAAAAACATCAAATTAATGTTTTAGCATGTTTTTCAAGAAAAAACGTATACATCGGGCGACTGTAAATGATTTGGTTTAAAATTTAAAATTTAATTTGACAAACTTGACTTTCAAATTCAAACGTCAAACTTTACCACTAATTCAGTGTTGCCAATAGATTTTTTGTCACCCGGTATTTCGCAAAATTTAATCAAAAACTAACCAAAAAACTATAGAATTAGACTAAATGAAATAGCGTTACCTATTTTTCGACCATTTAAGCACGTTTTTGAGTAGGTCTGCGATATTAAAAAAAAAAAAGTTACATAATCTTGTAGTGAAAATACAACTTTTCTACTTACTAAATATATTGTTAATAAAAATCATTATAAGTTAAATGCATTGAACAATAATTTAACCTTGCATATTGAAAAAAACTTTATATGTTTAGGGCGCTAAAGTAGTCCTTTTAGTGCCTATTATTACCTATAAATAAAACAAAATCAAATATCTCTTTGTTAAACTACTAAAATGGTTATTGGTTTCTTATTGAAAATTTTTGTTTTGAATTATTTTGAGTATTTTGGACTTAATGTTTTCGCTCTGAGGTACAGAACAATTTGTTGGTTTTAGATAAAAGAAATTTTGGAATCGATAAATTTGTGGGAGAATCGTAAAGTGAAAACGTGTTCTTTGTCCGGGGGACAAAAGAAGCGTCTATCTATAGCTCTCGAACTGTTGAAAAATCCTCAAGTTATGTTTTTTGACGAGCCAACGAGTGGGCTTGATAGTCTAACATCGAAACAGTGTGTTATGCTTCTGAAACAAATCGCTTCGACTGGTCGAACAGTTATTTGTACAATTCACCAACCAAGTGCTATGATTTTTGAAATGTTTGATCATCTTTATGCGGTGGCTAATGGCTTCTGTATTTATCAAGGAACGGTCGAAGGTCTTCTTCCGTATTTGGAACAAAACAACTTGAAATGTCCCCCGTATCACAATCCGGCGGATTACCGTAAGTATCATTGACTCACAACACACTTGCATCCAAATTTGGCTCTTATTGATAACGTTGATAAGGAAAAATTATCACTCATGCTCGGGTTTGCTTTTGTCTTACGGGACAAGGTCGTTAACACTTTTCCTGGTTATTGTGGGATTAATCACTGTCTCTTTGTTGTCTTTGTTTACAACTGAAGCGATTAAATTTATTGAGGACAAATTATTTCAAGAAATTGCGTACATTTTTGCTCGTTTGAATTTATTAATTCTTCAGGTTTTCTCGCTAAATAAATAATGTTTTTAAGGCAAGGTAAACGTGTCAATTACCGATGAAAAATTTCTACTGTTTAAATGACGCAAAAATTTACATTGAACTTCCATATTGCTCACCCAAAAATTGCCAGCTATGAAAATAAACTTCATTAAAACAAATAGTACAGACAACAACAACTATTTAGGAAAATAGTTTTTGAGACTGAATAAAACAAAGTTAAGTAAAAAGTGAAAAATAATACTTGAAATAAAATTAAGTGGAAAAAATAAGTAAAACATTGAAAACTTTAGGACGATTCTAGAAAATAATTAAGCTTTGAGTAGTAAACAGCAGACGAATTAAAGAAAACTTTTGAGACGAAATAGAAAAAAAAAAAAAAGATTTGAGATTGTAAAGTAAAGTAAATTAGTAGTAGTAAAATTTTGAAAAATAGTTTGAGAGAGAAGAGAAAAAATTAAGATTTGGGGAGATGGAATAATTTGCTTTTTGTTTTATGAAAAAATGAAACGCAAAAATTTTGCGGAAAGTTTTGCATGGTTTTAACAATTTTGTATTTTCAGGTGAATTAATAAAATACTTACAATAAAATAGAATACAATAAAGACTCTTAGATTATTGAGCTCCTTTAAAAAAATGTAAAATAGTTTGTGTAAAATTAAATAAAAAAGACAAATAAACATATTTAAATAAAAAAATAAATGAAATGGTATTTGAGGTAAAATTCAGAAAGTTCAATTAGTAAAAATTTAAAAATATTGGAGGAATTGAGGTAAATAATGAAGCTTTAAGTCGGTGTTTAAGTCAGTATTTTCAACCAGAAACTTGATTATTGCGACAATTTTTTTCAAAAAAGTTGAAAAACAGTTTTGTTTTTTTGCAAGATTTCACAAAACAGGATCGAAAATGACAATTTAGTTTTGTCTTTTTCATTTTTTTTTCAATCTAAAAATTCAACAAAGTCGACCAGAAACGGCGTTATTTTTGTTTYCAAGTAAATTAATAAAATACAGTACAGCAAAATAGAATACAATAAAAAAACTCCTTTTCATATTCGTGATGAATCATTTAAAAAATAAAAAAGCAGTTAAAAAAAGTTTACAGGAAGTAATTAGTAAAAAAGTAGTAAAACAGCATGTAAGAAGAAAGTAATGAATGTGAAATTAGATAAAAAAAAGAAAAATAAACATATTTAAACAAAACAAAAATAAGGGAAATGGTATTTGAGGTAAAATTCAGAAAGATTAATTAGTGAAAATTTGAWAATATTGGAGGAATTGAGGTAAATGAAGCTTTAAGTCGGTGAATTTGTAGAAGACAAATGAAAAAAATAGCCTTTGAGGCAATACTGAAAAAGAAAGACTTTTGAGGAGGTAGAAAATAATAAAGATTGACGAATATTAAGCTTTGAGGATAGATAGTATAAAATTTAGGAAAATATAGTTTGAGGGGAAACTAGAGAAAATTAAATAAAAATTAKAGAAAATAGTAAATAAGTAAAATTTGGTATTTGTAACTATACATAATAAGAGGTTGAATGTGTTTTGGAAAACAAAAATRCCTATTGAAAACTTGAAAAAAACTAATAATAGTAGAAAAATTGAGGTGAATTACCAAGATTGARAAATAAAAAAATAACTTTTGTGGCGGAACTAAAGAAAAAAAAAAGAATCAGGAAAAATGAAAAATAATTAAAAAAAAAAACAAATTTGAACAACATTGATTTAGGTTGATTTCTGGCCTAAAATTGAGCTAAATTGATTGCAAATAGTCAAAATCGCTTTATTTTGGCTGAAAAAAAACTTGAAAACTTGAAAAAAACTGATAATAGTAGCAGAATTGAGGTAAATTACCTAGCTTGAAAAAAAATAACTCTTGTGGCGCAACTAAAGAGAAAAGAAAAAAGAACTATTTAGGAAAATAGTTTTTGAGACTGAATAAAACAAAGTTAAGTAAAAAGTGAAAAATAATACTTGAAATAAAATTAAGTGGAAAAAATAAGTAAAACATTGAAAACTTTAGGACGATTCTAGAAAATAATTAAGCTTTGAGTAGTAAAACAGCAGACGAATTAAAGAAAACTTTTGAGACGAAATAGAAAAAAAAAGATTTGAGATTGATACTCTATAAGAAAATAATCTAAAAACTCAAACTGGTGTTTTTTATTTTATTTTTATTTTATAAAAAGAGTTACTTTTGTAACTTATTTGTGTATTTATTCAAAACAGATTTTTTGCCCCACAAGAAAAGTCTTGAGCAAGTAAATTAGTAGTAGTAAAATTTTGAAAAATAGTTTGAGAGAGAAGAGAAAAAATTAAAATTTGGGGAGATGGAATAATTTGCTTTTTGTTTTATGAAAAAATGGAACGCAAAAATTTTGCGGAAAGTTTTGCATGGTTTTAACAATTTTGTATTTTCAGGTGAATTAATAAAATACTTACAATAAAGTAGAATACAATAAAAACTCTTAGATTATTGAGCTCCTTTAAAAAAATGTAAAATAGTTTGTGAGAAGGAAATAATGAATGGAAAATTAAATAAAAAAATGCAAATAAACATATTTAAATAAAATAAGAAGAGAAATGGTATTTGGGGTAAAATTGAGAAAGATAATTACGTAAAAATTTGAAAATGTTGGAGGAATTGATAAATAATGAAGCTTTAAGTCGGTGATTTTGACAAATTAAAAAATAGCCTTTGAGGCAAAACTGAATAAAAAAAACACTTTTGAGGAGGTATAGAAAATAGTAGAGAAATTGACGAACAATAAGCTTTGAGGATTTGGGAAAATATACTTTAGGGGGAAACTAGAGAAGATGAAATAAAAGAAAAAAATGTCAAATGAAAAATAAGAGAAAACAGTAAATGGGTAAAATTTTGTATTTGTAACTATACAAAATAAGAGGTTTGAATATGTTTTTGGAAAACAAAAATAGCTATTGAAAACTTGAAAAAACTAATAATATTAGAAGAATTGAGGTAAACTACTAAGCTTGAAAAAAAAACTTTTGTGGCTGAACTAAGAAAAGAAAAAATTCCTATGAAAAATAATTAAAAAAACCAATTTGAGGAGGTAGAAAATCATAGAGAAATAAAAAAATGAGGGAGTAAATAATAAAACATTTAGAAAAACATATTTGAGGGAAAACTAGAGAAAATGAAATAAAGTAAAAAATGACATATAATTAAAGGAAAAATACCGTAATTTATTTTTTTGAGGAAGTAAATAGTAACAATTTAGGAAAATTCTCTTTGACAAAAAGTGAAAAAAAAGTACCTACTTGAAATAAGATTTGAGTTATAACTAAATAAAAAATTGAAAACTTTAGGAGAATACAAAATAATTAAACTTTGAGTGGTAAATTTATAGCAAACAAATAAAAAACGAAATTGTTGCGAATCACAAAGAAAAGATTTGAAGAAGTTAATTCATACTCTATAGGGTGCGCCAGAACTCGCGCCCCAGAAAAAAATGTAAGGTACGATATCAGGAACATGGAAAAAGATGTTAAAAAAATTCTATCTATGAAAATTTCGAAGTTATGAGAGTTTAAATTTTGCACTTTGACTCAATTTATTTCTGTTGGAAAAATAATTTTACAAGTTTCTTTGATCCTAAATTGTAACTCTGTTTAATGTTATTTGTGGCTTTTATTGGGAAAATTTTTGTACTTCATCAGTATCATTAAACAGACATAAAAAATGTCAAATGTTAAATTTTTTTCACAGATAGAATGCGGAAAATAAAATGTCCCAATGACAAATGAAAAATGTTTAAATAATTTGTTTGTAAATTATGACAGGAAACCGTAAACAATTTGTATGAATAAAACATTAACAACGTGTCTTTTTCGGATGTTTTGAGACGTTTCATTGAATAATTCAATTTGTTTAAATCATTATTTTAATATTTATAAAATAATTTTTAGACATCTAGATAACATAAGAACTGACATACGTCCTTAACTAGTACGCCTACTTGATAGAAAGACTTTTTGATTATTTATTCAAAATATGTTTAAGCAAAGTTCTTAGTTTAAACGTCTTGAGCAAGTAAATTAGTGATAGTAAAATTATGAAAATGTTTGAGACAAAACAGAAAAAAAAATAAGATTTGAAGAGATAGAATCAGGCCCAAATTCTGCAAGTAAGTAATCTAAAAAGCGGAACTGTAAAATTTGTTTTTTGTTTTACAAAAAAATTTAACGCAAAATAATTAAATCAATAAAATACAGTACACAAAACAAATACAAAAAGATGGAATTCAACAAAAACTTCTGAACCCTCTTTCATAATTTGTGATGAATTTTTTATACAGGGATCGTCAGAACTCGCGCCCCAGAGAAAATTTTCAAGAAAGGTAAGATTCCAGGAGCATGAAAAAATGGTTAAAAAATTCTATCTGTCAACAAATTTTGAGATTTATTTTTTGACATTTGACATTTTTTTATATCTATTTAATGATACTGATGATCTTGTTATGTTTTTTTTTACAATTATTTAGTAAAGGGACAAAAATTTTACCAATGTTATTTGTGGTTTTTATTGGCAAAATTTTCCTCTTTTAATAGCCTATAGCAAAAAAACTTGGAAAATTATTTTTCCAACAGAAATAAATAGAGTCAAAGTGCAAACTTTAAACCGTCATAACTTCGAAATTTTTATAGAAAATTTTTTTTTAACATTTTTTCCATGTTCCTGGTATCTTATCTTACCTAAAATTTTTCTCTGGGGCGCGAGTTCTGGCGCATCCTGTATATGAAAATAATCTAAAAACACAAATTGGTGTTTTTATTTTATTTTTATTTTATAAAAAGAGTTACTTTTGTGTATTTATTCAAAACAGTAAAGTCTTGAGCAAGTAAATAAGTATATAGTAGTAAAATTTTGAAAAATAGTCTGGGAGAGAAGAGAAAAAATGAAGATTTGAGGAGATAGAATCAGGAACAAAATCTGCAATAAAGTGATATGAAAATGGAGAATTGTCAAATTTGCTTTTTATTTTATAAAAAAATGAAACGCAAAAATTTTAATAAAAACGACTTTCTATTTTTACGTGAATTAATAAAATAAAATAGAATACAATAAAAATGAGCTTCTTTTCATATTTGTAATGAAACATTTAAATTTATATAACAAGGCAGTTAAAAAAAGTCTAGAGGAAGTAATTAGTAAAACAAATAGTAAAATAGCTTGTGAGAAGGAAGTCATGAATGTAAAATTAAATAAAAAAGACAAATAAACATATTTAAATAAAAAAATAAATGAAATGGTATTTGAGGTAAAATTCAGAAAGTTCAATTAGTAAA